CTGTGCGCCACACCTCCAAAACTTGCTCTGCCTTCTGCTCGAGCGTCTCTTGTTCAATCTGCTCTACCAAAGCTTCAAGATCGCTCCTCTGCTGCAGCTTCTCTTGCGCCGAGCCAATCATGGCTTGCTCGAAAGCAGCAATCACCTTTGTGAACTGAGCTTTCCCCATCTTCATCAACTCTTCGTTGGTGTACGAAGCACTCGTGTTCAGGCCGACTTGGCGCTTCACAAAGTAAGTTCTTGAGCGTAGTGCCTTATTACGCAGGGCCGTGTTCAAGGCAAAAAAGTAAAAGCGCGGGTGCGCTTGGAAGCGACCGTCGGCTCGCAGCAGCATGTGTTTGATCCACTCCCAGAAAGAGAGCGGCTGCTGGTTCTCCGCTCGCTCCTGAACATGGGCCCAGTAGTCCCCCTGTCCCAGCGGAAAGAGTTTGAGGAACCCTGCAGCGATGTAGTACGGGTGATCCTCACGGATGAGCACGTTGCGAGACAGCACTGTGGGGGGATCCACAATGGGCAGGCCTGCCACACGACCTGCGCCGTGGCGCTGAAGACTGGCTGAGGCCAGCACATCTGAGCGATGTGCATCGCCCAAGGCATTCCAAAGATCCTCTTGCATCTCTTGCTGCGTTTGCTGCCCCGCCAAGTCTTCGGGAGACCAAAAGCCTTCGGGAGTCAGCGGCTGCTCCTCCCAGGCCGACAGCTCTTGCACGGCTGTCAACTCATCGTGCAAAATTTGCTCAACTTGGTCGTGTCCCATGCTTGGCTGGTCTGTCAAAGGGCGGTCAGAAAAGACGCACCGCTGCTGCGAGACTAAGTACCCCACGAGAGTCGAGGTGACCAACTCATCTGGGCCACCGACAGCTGCAAAGTCCAGCTCGTCGAGCTTTTGTCTCAAGCTACACCAAGTTTTCTCCATGCGGTCAGCATCACTGACGCTCTCTGGCGGCTCGTGCAAAGCTCGTACTTGCGAGGCCAGCTGCAAAGACAAAGTGCTGGAAATCCACATCGCAAAGAGCCTCTTTTCGATCTGGGGCCAGATCTGCTGCTGCACTTCCTGCACCTCCAAGCCCTCAGGCTCTGCTCCCTCTTCAGTGTTGGAGTACTGCTCCAAGTTTGCACGGTTCACGAAGCCGCAGTATCCTTCGGGAGTCAGGCCACCCGGGCGCAACGCCGCGGAGCCTCCATCTTCGACTGGCCGGCACAGTCGGTTCAGGGCACGCTCGAGACGCCGGCGCGAGACCAGAAAAGGTACTCGCTGCTTCCTGTGCACATCCTTGCTGCAGCGGCGTATCAGGAGCATTTTCATGTCTCCAACTGCAGCAGGAATGTCTCGCACGAACTGCGGGCCGTTTTGAAAAAGGTTGCCCACGTGGCCTCGCAGCTCACACTGGCCCGTGCCGTACAGCGTAAAGATCCGCACCAAGTGCTGGATCGGGGACAGGATCTCTTCCTCGAAGAAAGTCAGGGCATCGATCTCCGGGAGAGTCTCTCCCGGATCTGCGTGGTTGGCCGCCGTCAAGCGGAACGGCTCCTTGGGCAACATCGCCTTGGCACGTTCCTTGGCTTCGTGCAAGCAGTTCTCACAGATTGGCTTGCCGGCTTCCAGCCAATCGGCCTCAGGTGCCCGACAGAAGTTGGTCTTCTGAAACGCTTGGGTCTCGAAGCCTCCGGGCAGGCCACTCTTGCCTTTGCCTGCGGCAATGCCGAACCAGCCTTCCTTGCAGTAATGGCAGTCCTGAAACTCCATGCTCAGCATGTAGGAGTCCACCTCATGCACACGGTGGAAAAACGGCATTATGCGGGCTTCGGCGTCCATGCTGTTGCCGTACAACTGCCGTAAGCTCTTTGGCAGCCGAGGCCGCGGCAAGTGGTCCCCTAAAACTGTCTCACTGGCGTGCAGCTTTGGCTCATGCCATGCCTTTAATGGCATGTGTTCCACTTCGATGAGAAGCGGCTGCAGCGCCCTGCGAACACGCTCTTGGTCCACCAGGGACAGATGGCACCAAGTTCTCCGGAGGAAATCATAGCCGAAGCGAAAATCATCATCGGCTTTCTTGCCATGGCCGCTGAACAGCTCCTCGGCACAAGTAGCTCGCAGTGCCTGCAGCTCGGCCTTTCTTTGCTGAAGCATAGTCAAAAACTTTTCGACCAGAGCGGTTTCGGAGACACACAAGTCACGCTCCCAGCCTTGCACGAGTGCTTCTTGCTCCGGCGACAGATGCTGTCTGTATCTTTTGAGAAACATAGCACAAAAGGAAGAGCTTACATCAGCTCCCTGGTCAAGGCTTTGCAATGCTTTCACCAGGGAGCTCTTTTCTTGAGCTCGCAGCACGGCAAAGTAAGCTTGGACAAAAGCACTCAGCCTTGCAAAGCTTCGTTGAAGGCCGGCCAGAAAAGGCGCAGCCTCCAACTTGGACTTGTCACAAAGCACAAACTCCCAGTCTTCTAAATGCTCTTTCTGGTCGGCATTCAACAATGCCACGTGCCTGTCGAAGAAATTCTTAGCTTGCTTCCAACGTGTGTCGGAATTCGCGCGGTTGCTGCTGACAACAGCTGACAAGCTTTGCTTCTGTAGCTGAGCAATTTCAACAGCATTCTGAGCGAAGAAGGCTTGCACTTCGACAAAGGCAGGAGCACGACGCGATGCTGCAGCTTCTTTTGCCGCAGCACTCACTTGACACAACTCAGCTTCCTTTGCAAGCAAAAAATCCTTTTCCGCAGACGCCAAGCGGTCGCTATAGCGCAGCAGGAAAACACGGCAAAAGCTCGACATTTGAAATTCCTGCATGTGTCGACTCTGCAAAGCTGCCAGCAAGCTTGGCTTGCTTGAGTATCTTATCGCCTCTGCCGTCTCTGTCAAAAATGCCTCCACGCGGCAAAAACAGCATTGAAGGCCGGCCAGAAAAGGCGCAGCCTCCAACGTGGACTTGTCACAAAGCACAAACTCCCAGTCTTCCAAAATCTGCTGCTGAGCTGGCTCCAAGCTTGAAAGTTTTCGTCTGCAGAAATTTCTGGCTCGCTCCCACTCTGGTACCTGACTGCGCCGCTTGCTGTTGAGCAAAGCTGTAAGCGTCGGCTTCTTCATTTGCACAAGCTCCTGCGAGTAGGCTGCCAAAAACGCCACCGTCTTATCAAATGCGTCTGCCATGGCGTCCGGAGCGGTCAGAAAAGACGCGCTCCACCGTGCGGGATACACAAGGAAACGATGTCACTGGCATGTGTCTGTGGAAGTATATGCGTTCTGTGGGAACACAAACTAAAAAAAAAACATCAAGAGGTTGTCCGCCTGAGCGTGATGCTGGTAGGTCGGCTGGTGACAAACAACAAACTAGAACATTAACATGTTCTCGGCCTGTGTGTGGTGCTGGTGGGAGTGCTGGTGAAAGTGTAGTGGTGGTAGTGGTGGTGGTGATGTGAGTTGCCGCTCCGCGATTGAAGCCGGGACATGAACAAACATGAACAGTGGTGGTGGTGATGCTAGTGATGCTGGTGACGAAAACCGGGACATTGAACAAACATGACATACGCGGAGCAACTGACAAGACAGAGCCGAAACGCCACACGGTCACAGCGACATTACCTCCCTATCTATCTATCTATCTGTCTATCTACCTATCTATCTGCCTGTCTACCTCTCTATCTATCTGTCTACTTGTCTCTCTATCTTTCCAGCTTTCTATCTATCTATCTATCTATCTATCTGTCTGTCTGTCTATCTATCTAGAGCGCGACTAACTCAACAGGGCAGCGTAGGATGCCTTGCGCGTTGCCATTCCAATGCGTTTTACCACTGCCAAGCTGCATTCCATCTTAGAAATGCGCACCGCGCGCAAGCGCCACGCATTTTTTCCAAATTGGATGAAAGCCTTGCGCGTTGCCATTCCAATGTGTTTTACCACTGTCAAGCTACATTGCATCTTAAAAAACGCGCACCGCGCGCAGGCGCCACGCATTTTTCCAAGTTAGATAAAAGCCTTGCGCGTTGCCATTCCAATGCGTTTTACCGCTGTCAAGCTACATTGCATCTTAAAAACGCGCACCGCGCGCAGGCCGCGTGCGATTTTTGAAAGTTGGAGCTTCCAAAAGTAGCCCGACCCTCTCAGGTTTTTACGATTTTGACTTCCAAATGTGCACCGCGCGCAGGCCGCGTGCGATTTTTGAAAGTTGGAGCTTCCAAAAGTAGCCCGAGCATGTAGTGTTTTTACGATTTTGACTTCCAAATGTGCACCGCGCGCAGGCCGCGTGCGATTTTTTGCCAGCAATTCCGACCAAAGGCTCCGCACCCGCCGCTTTACCGAAGTAACTTCTGGGCCGTCTGGAGGCTCAAAACATTGAAAAATACAGCATTTCGCGACCTTTCTAACATTTCGCACACCATGCTTCATCTTTCTTCATCGCTTCTTCATCTTTCTTCATCGCTTCTTCATCTCTTCTTCTCTCTCTCTCTCTCTATCTCTCGCTCTGCACTGCTCTGCTTGAGTTGTCGATATTGTCGGAAGTTAGACTTCTAAACTTCCTTCGACCAAGCAACAGTTATGGCGTTATGGCTTCATTCCCACGGTTTCTGACCGGTGGTGAAATCGATTTCTGGGTTTCGATTTCAACCACAATGTTGACCCCATGTTGTATTGGGGGGAGTTCCCGAGGTTTAGTGTGGTCTTCGCATGTTTTATTCCTAGGTCCCCCAGTAGTGCCCTTTTACCCGTTCTTGGGAAAGGAGCCCCCTACTAAAATAGACTACAGAAAAAAAGGGTACCCTTATTCTACCTCTCTACTGGAGCCTAGTTTCGTATTTTTTCCGGGGGTTTTCACCCGGATTTTCTTTGGTGCAGCTTGGATGTTAGGACTTTAACTTTGTGCCAACTACTGGGTTTTCCGAATTAAGCCACCAAAAGTTAGTCGCTTTTAGCAGGGGACCCCCCCCCAAACCCCCGGTTTTCACGCGGATCTTCGGGTTTCCTTCGATTCGGATTCGCGAATGAATTTTCCGAACCTCGGAGGCTGCTGGGAGTGGATCATTTCGTGCTCTACGACCGCGCCGGGACACCCGGCGCCTTGTGCGCCGTCCCGGGGCCGTCCCGGGACGAATCCCCCGCGCCTCCCCGCAGAGACCCCCCCCAAGAAAAAGGGAAGAGCTGGTTTCCAGGGTGTAGGATTTATATAAGCCAGACCCTACAATTTTGTAACAGAAGCCCAAAGGAGGTGGTTGAAGCAAGAGCTGGTTGAGTTTAAACATGTTTCAGCCGGATGGCCCAACCCTTGACCCGTTTGGCATTTCCAGGGATACAAGAAGGCCCAAAACAATTCTCACTGCCAGATGGGAGTGGTTTCCCTTGTGATTGTAGTGTTTTCACTAAAAAGTTTGGACAGGAAGTTTGGGAATTCCCAGCCCCATTTTCAACATCCCTTGGGTTTATGGAAAACCGAAAACCGGATGGAGGTTTTAAAGGGAAGCAAGAAAGACACCGAAGCCAATTTGGGGGTCCTAGTCCCTAATTTGACCCATACTTTTCCGGTCTGGGAATTGTCTGTAATAATTGCAGATTGGGCTTGGAATTTCACTGTTTCTCAGGATGGGGAACCCAGGTTGGTATCTTGGTTAAACCGTGGACAAATGGGTCGACAGTTTGCAGCGCTTGCTTGTTCCAAACGGGTGTGTTTGTTTAGAAAACCCCAGAATCGTTCGCCTGGAAACAGCAACCAAAAAGGACCCTTAAAAAGAAAACACACACACACACACACACGCTCACAAATACCATTGCGTGTTGCTTGTCGCTGGCGCATTGTTTGCAGGAGACTGAGACTTCCAACCGGTTACATGCTGGCTTCCAAGCCAAAATAGCCATTTGCCGACTTGTTGTTGCCATTTCACCTGGGGTAAAACGAGCTCACCGATGGCACCATTGGGGCTCCCTTAATTTTGGTTTCGCGAACATGAATTCGCAGATCCATGCATTAGGTGATTGACAAAGTTGGCATGCCCTGCTTGTGGTGCCATTGCTGTATGACTAATGCTTCATGTGTCAGTGCCTGAGCAGTGCGTTAGAAGGGGCGGTGTCCGTTCACAAAGCCTTATACAACAGAATACAACGTATCTCTGCACGGAGTCGTTTGGATTGTGCTCAGCGCAGCGCTCAGGATGGATCACTTCAAGGAGACGGCATTCTGGACCCCTACATCCTCAACGGCTACGTTGGTCTTGCATGGTTGCCGGAAGGAAGCTGTGCTCACCTTGTTTTACTCGTTGCCTCACATGTGAGCCAAGCGTGTGGGGGTTGGCCCACGTTTGGCTAGGGAACATTCGAATAGACCTTTTACCCTCCCGCCCGGATTTAGGAACCCTTCTAAGAGCCCTTCTGCGTTTTGGTTCTGACCTGTGATGGCAGGTATATAATTACCCTTAATTGGGTTCTTAAGAGGAAACCAAAGAGGTACTGGCCATTTCTGGGTTCAACTTTTTGTTGAGACGCCCCCATCTAAGTGTTTGCTTGCAAAGTACATCAGCAGAATTGCGTGGCTTCCCACTGCGTCGCTCATATACTGGCATTCGCGGGCGAGCGACACTGTTGGGGAAGGCAGTTTCCAGGAGCTTTTTACCGAGCATGGACGGGTACACGCACACGACGACTGGCTACTGGGCAAGTAACATCGCGACCCCAAGGGGTTTGGTTTGCAAGCGAAAACGCAAGAAGCTTTCGTTCGAGCCCTTGTTACGGGTTGGCACTGTGTCGTAAGAATGGTGAGTAGAAAGGGTATATGGATATGGATATGGATGGTCACAGTAGGACACGCAGTGAAGGCAATGCTTTGCCTGAACCAATGGCGGAATTTCTTGGCACATCAGTCGCCGATCAAAGGTCCTGAGAGCTCTTTTATGTCTTTTATTTGGGGGTTTGAACATTTATAGTATCTTCCATTTGCTTAAGACTACGTTTATGGTCTCCTACTGGTTTTAAAGGGAATCTCTCAATGCTGGAAATGTGTTATTTTTCCATGGACTTAAACAAAGAGGGGATCGTGCATTTTATTAAGAGTATGTTTAGAGGGAATCTATCAATATACTGGAAATACCTTTTCCAGGGGACCTAAGCAACTGGAAGGTATAGTCTGCCCGGAGGATGTTTGCTTTCACGGAACGACCCTTTTGGTGCTGATCCCTTGATGCCAGGTGACATACTTCCCGCGGTTTTCGCTCTACGCGCTTTCGGAGCAACTTGGCCGAGTATACTTTGGTCTGTCCTTGTTTCGGAGAGCCCCCAAAGTTGTGGTTTTCCTGTTGGTTTCCCTTTGTCACCCAAACAAGGGGCGAAGCCTCACCAAGAGACAGACCCACTTAGATGTTTAACCCATTTAGTAAGTAGTTGCAGCATGAATATGTTATATAACTGAGACATCGAATATTGTTTTAGTCCCCTTACAACCATAGTTGCAACCTACTTGAAATGCGGTTTGAGCACGCAAGTAGGGGCCCCTTGTTGGTATCGCATGACAAGAGACTTTTAGGGTCTACACATGGCTAAAGTCATTGTTCTATAATTACATCCTTTTTGGTTCATGTCATGTCACCAGGAGTTTCCAGGTGCTGCATACAAAGAGTGCCGGTTTGGAAGATCCTTTGGCCGGGGAATTGCAAAGCGAAGGAGTCATGACGCACGGCTTTTTTCATGCACTGAACGAACTGCTTGCCGTGTGAATCATGTTGCTTTCTCGACTTGAGTATGGCGGATGCCTCACTGATTGCAATCGGACCACGTCCTTTGACCTTTGAGAAAACCCACTTGAAGCTGTGCCAAAAACCTACGGGTTGATCGGATTCTGCTTCCTTGGGAGGGCTGCCACTGGACCGGCCACATTGAGACACACTGAGGATGCAGCAAAGTTTCAAGAAATCCAAGGGAATGATTCGAGTCCCCCAAGTACATACCAACAAACCGTGGTCTCCTTCATTCATGGTTTTATTGAAACTCATTTTGTCCATCCACAGTACTGTGTCCATCGCTTGGGGAGGAATGAAGCTCAGCAGAACAACAATGAGTCCTTCTGCAGGCATGCGGCCATGATTGTGGCACGGCAGAACTGTTTGTTTGCTACTCCTACGTCCCAAAGCAACAATGACAACCAAAGCTTGCCGATCATGCAACAAACCAGCTGATAACTGCTGCCTCCTTGGTTTCTGTTGTTTGGGTCTGCGTGTTTGATCCTGGAAGTATTTCAGGCGAGTGTAAGAAAGCAAAGATGTGTCCCAAGGTTTCCGAGTTGTTTTGCGTTTCCGATGAGTTATCTTGAGCCCGACTATAGTGCGATCAATTCTGACGGACTCTAGTTCCTCAGTTTTGGGGTGGCGTGAAACCAATGTGCCCGGCCCTTTTCCCACTGGGCCAACAATTTGCACCCTCTTCTTTCGGGGGTTGCGGAAGAGATGGCAAATTTTTGCTGTGCGCCCAGAAACGGAGTCCGATCCCAAAAGGAGATTGTCAGATTGCTCAAACGATGGCTTTGTCACTTCCAAAGGTTTGAATCGGGTCCTTCCAACACGTGTGGAGGTGTCAACTCCCATCTCTGTTTTGAGGGTAACCCGGGCCCCCGGACACACAAATATATATATATATATATGAAGCCTCATATATATATATATATACATATATACCCATTAAATTTTGCAGTGTCTTTTCTTTGGGGCTACCCTTTTTATGCTGTTTATGGTGGTTTCAAGGGAGACCACAAGCAAAACCAATGTGGGCGAACCGCTCGCCCTATGTTGAGTCACATCCCTTTGGGTCTCCAAGCCCTCGATGTCGACCTTCCGGGTTCGAGGCACCACGACCTGATCCATGCGGGAGATGGCTGGCCATCAGCAGCAGCTCGCCGCGGATGTTTTGAAACGCAACGCGGTTTCAGTGCCTTACGTCTGGGGTAGACTGAGGATACCCTCCCCCAGACTAACACGGAAGCTCCCAGGACCTGTTTGGAAGACTTCCATTTACATAGGCCTTTTGGGAGCTTCCATGTTAGCTGAGTGTACATTTTGCATTTTACCAGTGACTCAAAGTGAAGCAAACAAACAAAATGCACATTCTACAACTGGGCCTAGCTCCAATCATGACATGACACCTTCAAGCGCAGCGGGTCCTGTTCGGGAATACGGCGCGAACCATCGCGCACCAATCATTGCCTACAACAGTTTGCCTGTTGATATGTCCACGTTCCTTGGGCATTTTGATGGGTGTATCAACATTTGCTATTTTTTAGTTTTTCTGGAAGGTCTGACGCGAAGGAAATCACTTCAAACAGCTTGGGCTGTTCAGCCCACGTCGACTCACATAATTCCTAACTCCTATGTGAAAGCACGGGAAGTAAGTAGCATCATTCTGCGCAGGAAGAACCCTGTCAGCCACCATTTCTGGGCAGTCACAAATCCAGTTTGGCAAATGAGAGCGAAAGGAGCGAGTTGGAACTGACTTCGGGTGCTGGCACTGGTTGTTGGCCCATATCATGTCTGGTTATCTCGGCGTCTCCGATTTGAAGGGAGGGTTGGCACACCTCAAGTGATGGTTGGCAGACAATCCTGGTAAGTAATGTATGCCAACATTTGACCCGTTTGGAGGGTTAATTTGGGTGTGGGTCAAACACAAATACCCCTTTCTTGGGCAACCCCCCCCCTTTCCTTTGGTCTATTTTGAAGGGAACATCTGAGGGGTATGGGGTTACCAGGCCTTTGACCCACAGCGATGTGAGTAAATAGTGTGGACGAAATCCAGTTGGCACCACCAAAGAAAGCCCGGAATGATTCGATTTTCCTGTGAATACCTGTTCTTTTAGAGGGTTTTTTTGGATCGATCCAAAGAACATCCATGGGCTTGTCTTTTCATTGCAGCTCCCTACAAACCAAATCGCGGGTTTCCCCTTCCTTGCGAGTGAACCACTAAATGACACTGCCCATCAAAAAAGCGAGAGGTCCCGAAGCTATCGGAGAGCCCTGCTAGCTTGAGAAACCGACAAACCCAAACAACCCATGTACCTGAACCCTCAACATTCCAACTTGAAAATGGGTTATGGCAACTATGGTTGGTGGTTTCCCTTTAAGGGTAGGTTGTGGGGCCAGGTATGCAATTCTGTGGATGGTTGCGAAATCCTGAAATCGCACCACGAAATGACACCATAGGAACCATAGATGCCTTTTGAAGCGAATAGTGGGTTGATCCGTTCAGGGCTGCTTGGACCCTTTGTGGGGTTGGCTCGTGACAGGCAAAATGTCACAACTTACTCAGATTTGCCGAGGCCGCCCCGGATGCACAGGCCGGCCGGTGGATTGTTGAGTGCCCAAGAGCTTGTCAGCATGTTTCTGGCTCCGTGCCCCCCCTCCCCGAGATCTGGAATTGGACATTGTCGGACTATGACATGAATTAGTACTGCCGATAGCTTTGACAGTTTATATCACAGCTTTGATTTTTCCTAGGGGGCACGGGCTAGCATTAGTTCGGTTTTTGTTTGCCCAAAACATGGCCTCCAATGCAACATGCTTGGCTGGCAGCACTTGTGGAAGCTTGTGGCCTTGTTGCCTAGTCTGGGCCATCAGGGGACGAAGAAGACGCTATCCGCCTCTACGCCGAGCCGCAAACAACAACAAGCTCATGTTTCTCCTCGGGATAAATATGGGTGTGCCTTAAAATAGGGGGCGCCAAACATGGCTGGTTTCCTTTTGGAGTCCTTTTAAAACAACAAAAAGTGTCCCCTCAAGAAAGACGGACCCACATCCCTTGAAGGAAACAGGCAACAACATGGAGAGGGTCCCATGGGAATATGTCATATACGCACAGCAAATCGTTCGGAACTTGTGTTGCAAACATGTTTTGGTACAATTCACCCTGATTGTGGGTACCTGGTAAATTCCTGCACCAGTTGGTATGGACAACACCCTTACGCTGAGTGAACAAAATCCAACTCACACCACTTGAACATACAAGCATAAACCTGCCAACTGTTGTATTTTGTGGATTCTAGGGAGCCCCCGGTTCACCGAGCAATCCAACAGCCTTGGGTTTTAACATCCTTGAACACCAGCATGCGAGACGCTGCCTCATGGCAACAGGAATGCAAGGGAAGAGGATCTTGCAAGTGCACGATATGAGGGCCTGAATTAAGCAACCACATACGTGTTGTCTCCCATGATCATGACTGAACTTGGCTTGAAAGCACCTTCACAACCACATTCTGATTATTCAGGCCCTTTTAGTACAATGCTTATGCTTGAGAAGCGCGGCACATCAATGGGACACTGTTTGCGGTATTTGCTGCCATGTTTTGGCACGTGCTCTTGACGTATGTGTTTGCCCTTCGCCTTCCTCCCACTAACATAGCATTTGTGAGAGGGCACCTGGAAGATCAATGTCCTCTTCAAGGAACCCACTGTCAGGTGCCATGTGATTTTATATCTTGAACAGAGACAACACTAAGCCATGCACATGTGGGGTGTAGCAGCTTGCCCAGCAATGCAACATGCGCAGGACGTGGCACTCCAACTTCACTCGGGTCAAATGGGGTTCAACCCATGGCCTGTGGAAATCAAAGATTTGACGACCAGTAGAGCCAGGGGGTTCACTGGGATTGCTAAGTTTTCGGTTTGGCCTGGCCATGCGTTTTGAACAGCCCAGTCAGGTTTCACTCGAACCTGTGGGCAGGGCTTCGGGCGTGATTGACACTCCTTCGGGTGTGGCCTTTTTTTGCGGTTGGACCCGCTGTCCTTTTCGTTTCCCGTTAAAACCACCAAAAAAGGGTGGTTCAACCGGCCACCCGGTTCCTTGTTTTTTGTTGTTGTTGTTTTTTGTTTGTATTTGTTTCTGGGTGTTGTGGTGGGTTCCACTAAACCAATCTAAAAGTTAGACGTTTCGCAGAGGATCTGAGGACAGCCTAAGAAACCGCGGTCAAACTTTGGTGCATTTTGCTTGGATGTTAGGACTTCAACTTTTTGTCAACGAGCGGGTTTTCCATTAAACCGCTAAAAGTTAAACTTTTTGCAGGGGAGCAGAAAGCACCCAAGTCTTTCTGCGCCTTCCGCGAGATCTAGCGCCATTGCGAGGCTGCCTCTCACTGCCTCTTCATGCAGCGCGGCTTGAGCGAATGGGCAGGGCTCTGAGTCCGTACAGACCTCCAGTGAGTGGTGCCCTTTGTTCCTTGTTGTTTTATGGGTGTAGTTTAGTTTAACAGCAAATACAAACAAACAAACAAACAAGGTTTGTGCCCTTGTTCGTTCGTTTTTTTCTCAAAAGCTGCGAGCTGGGGTCTCTGCCCAGATAGGTTCTCGAGTGGTTCGGAGCAGATTTTCGGGGTTCCGGAAGGGTTCCTGGTGCCGGTTGCTGTTGGGGATACCACCTGAGCGAATATGTTGGAGGGGTTTATTTAAAGATAAACTACAAAACAAATCAATAAATTGCTCCAAAAAGCACGAACTACAAAACCAACTACCAAGCCAACTACCCAAAAACATACTTAACGTTTACTGCCATGAACATCAACTACCCAGAAACAGAAAAAGGTACCTTTTTCCCCGTGGCCACTGGGGTCTGGGTCAGAACACCTGCTGGCGAACTTCAGGATGGTCATGGTGACATGGTGGCTTAACAGGGAGTTGAGAGCGGGAATTTAGACCCGCTTCCATACATCGAGAAGCCCCCGGGGCTCTGAGTTTTCCGGACATTGAAGACATTGCCCTCTCAAACCCACCAGATCCCTTTGGAGGTTTTGATGGACAGGCTCTATTTAAACCAGGTAGTCCCCCGCACATGACGAGCTCATGCAGGGTTAACACTAGCCCCACGATGATGGTCCCTTGCATGTCCTGCTCGCGGCTTGGGAGCTGCAGTCGGTTGCATGAGACGCACCGAGTCCCTCAATCACATAGCAGTTCATGCAGTCCGTTTCTGCATTCTGTCCATGGGGCGCCCGCAAAGCGCCACCAGGCAGGTGATATGCCCTCCGCCCACTTTCCATGAAGGGGGGGCTGATTCAAGTTGATGTGGATATGCCTCAAGGAAACCGCCACATTCAAAAGAAGGAAATCGGGCTCTATCTTTTTTCACGCTAGGTATGTTTACCTGTAGGTCTTACATGATGGCTTCTCCTGGTTACTTTGTGGCAACTGAAAGCACTGGGTAGGAGAAAGCACCAAAAACTTCGAGCCCGTTTTGTCCGTGGAGTTCCACCGGCTTTCGTTTCGGCCCGTGGCTCCGAGTCGGAGTCGCGCGAGTGGCGAGGTGTCGTTCCTCCACTCGCCGGACGAGTACCTCTCCAACTCCCAGGGGCTGCGCCACGTGGAATCGATCCTAGGCGCGGAATCGGGGCGAAGCGACCCTTTAGCGAAGGACCGTGTTTGGTTTTTCCACTTTTGGTCTATGGTTTTTATCCGCAGGTTTCGAGGCTTGCCGGCACCTCCTTATCCTTAGCGTAAAGGTTTAGGGCTTGGATTTAGGGTTGAGGTTTAGGGTTCAGGTTTAGGGGGTAGGAATGGCCCCCCCCAAAAAATCGGCTTTGATTTCTGGGTTTCTAGGGGGGGTTATTTCTGGGTCCCCAAGGGGCAACTACTTCTACCCTTCGGATTTGGAGAGGACCCTCTTCAGTTTTTAGATTCACATGACAGCCAAACAACCATCAGTTTAGAATCAGTTTTGCCGATTTCTGCTTTTGACCTGTGTACATGTGCAGTGGGTATGGGTTCCGATCCGATCAATGTCCCTGTGGCTTCCCTTGCAAGTACCCCAAAAACAAGGGGCCACTCAAAGATTTGCAGGTGAGTTGCAAGTGGACCAAGCAGATCCATCATCGATCATTTCATGTTGTTGTGTTTTTCCTCTTTTTTTTCTCTTCTCTGACCCCCAAAGCTTGGCGCACTTTTGCTACGTGCCCATTTCCCTCTTTTTTTTGCAGTGGTCGCCGTCGTTGTCTTCGCTCCCAGAGGGCCTTTGGTTCGCCAGAAAGCCGCGCAACTGCCCACGTGGCCACCCGTCACGCGCAGGGCCTCTGCGGCCGAAACGTGCGCAAGGACTGGCGGCGGTGGATGTCGGGGGCCTCCGACTTGGCACGTCACTCATCGTTTTTTCGGGAAGGGGCTGCCGCCGTTTTTTTGTGTGCGGCGTTTTTTTTTGCAAGCACCCAAAAAGGCCAGTTCCAGTTTTCCCGAACCTCACTTTCTCAGTGCCAGATTCAAAACCCCGGGCAATGGCGACACTACCACTGGGTGCTCCCTGAGACTAACAGAAGGAAGCCCCCAGAAGGCCTGGGGAAATGGAACCTTAAGTAATTCAAAGGGGTCCCAGAAATCAAAGGGTGAACCTTTAAGAACCTGGACAGGAAATGGAAAGGAACCCCAAAGGACAAAAGCTGGGCTTTTGGCGTCGTTTGCGTTGACGTCCTTTTTGGCTTGCAAGGGAAACCGCAAGGAACACTGAAGCCTTTTTCGTTTGGGGAGGGAGGTCCACTAAAACAAGACACACCCAAAATGGCGCAACGGCTGTCCTTTGCTTTCCCCGCAGCCAACAAGAAAAGAGTACCCTCAAAAAAAGGACAGACCCAGATTGTGCCCTTTTCCAGGGTGCCTGGATTCTCTATAACCCGCACACAAATGGGTGTGGCTCAAAATTAAACAGGGGGGGTTACGCGGGTTTTAGTCTTTGGTTCCATTTACTAGGGCTCCATTTTGGTACCGGTTTTTTGAGCCAATGACATGGGGTCATGACCATTTATTTTGGTTGACCCCATATTCAAAGGATCGAGGGAAACCACCAATCTTGGGTTCCAACCCCGTTTCGAGCCACACTCACAATTGGCAAATTTCTTGGCTGCCCTAAAAAAAAACAAAAAACTCAGGGGTCCCTGAATTTCCCCTCTTTCTGATTTGAATTGTCAGTTGTTGGGCTTTGTACAAACTTCAAATGATATGATCTTCAAAGAGAAGAGATTCTGGGTGGCGCGTCTTTTTTTCGGTCCTAGGTGTAGGGTTGGATGTTGACCAAGGCTCACATCTTGCAACTTAGCGGGAAACTGGTCAGCGACTCAGCTGCCACAAGGGAGCCCCGTACCGAAGGGACCCTCCCTGGTCTAGCAGTCACCATGTCACCATGGGCAAACACGACACACGTTGCAAAACACTTCCCGGGCTTTGAAGGAAACAGTAGCCCTAGGGTTCAAGCCCCATCAAAAGAATGAATGACCCAATTCAGATGATGACACGGTGGTTTGAATAGGGACAAGAAAGGCAATTCATTTGCGAGGGTAGTTTTGATACAGCTGGCTGGCCCTTAACGGGAATCGCATGTTTCTCTGCTGCAGTTTTTACGCAGGCTTTTGCTTATACCCCGCGCAACTGTCAGAGTCAGACTCTTTTGGATTCTTTTGCTCCCCTCCGTTGAGGCTGCAAAAGTTGACCTGCTGTGGTCCCCTTAGTTTTTTTCCCTTGACACAAACTTCAAATATGAGACTCTCAGAAAGGTAAATCACACATCGAATTCTGCTAAACAACTTTCGAATCGCGGATGCCAGAACAAAACACAACTGAACCAGATTGAGCCATTGCTTGGGTACCGTACATGCCAACATAGGGAATCCCTCCCCCCCAAAACTCACTTGCGGAGTTCCTGGACTTGGTACTTTTTGGGAAGACCATTTGGCAGACAAACGTTTGGACTTTTTTTGACCAATCCACGGAAGTGAGCACATGGCCATTACTCGGGTACTGTACATGCCAACACTCCCACTACTTTCCTCTTGTAAAGGGCCTTTTTGCACTTCCATGTTAGTTGTTAGTTGGTGGGAGGGTCAACTTGTGCTTTTGGTTTCTCCCTAAACACCAAAGGGTACCCTCCGTCAGGTCACGGCCATCTATTTCACCCGGTCGCAGCATCGCAAGCCCCAAGGGCCTGTGCGACCGGGGGCCCAGCATGGGAGTGACCGTGGGGAGTTGGTTGGGGGTTGGGGGGGTTTTGGGGGTTTGCGGGGGGGGGGGGGGGTTGGGAAGGGGGGGAGAATACCATCCTTGAGCTTTTCTTCAGGTTTTCAGGTTTACTTGAGTTGTCCAAATTGAGGGCGTCCGTCTGCCTTCAAGCGATGTTTCTTGTTTGTCCTTGTTAGCTTAAATGGAAGCAGTCATGGCCTGTAAAGATGTTCTTCTCTTGCGGCACTAAAACCACACCCACACAAGTTTACATGGGCGTTATACCCACCATGAGGGTTGTATGTGCTTCCCATAGGTCACTCTTCAGACAAGGCAATGTCGCATCCCAGTTCAATTAGACTCAGAATTATCCAGGGATTGTGAGTCAGGGGTCCGCGGTTCGATTGCTGGTTTGTTTGATTGCTTGCTTGCTTGCTTGCTTGCTTGCTTGCTTGCTTGCTTGCTTGCTTGCTTGCTTCATTGGTTTTGCTTGTGTCTATTTGGTTGTTCGGATGGCCGGTGGAGGATTGTCCCTGGACTTTGCAGGCCCAGACCGGTGGCTGGCTTCCTTTGTTCTTGTTTCTGCTTTTGGGAGGGAGGTTCCAATTGAAAAAAACCGGACCACCACAGCGTTCCTTACCGTTCCCTTGATTCCCGCGGCCAGGGGTCGAACTGACTGGTGTGAAGGAGACAATGCAAATCGAACTTGCTTTCCCCTCCAAGGGATGTGTTGGCTTTTGAACTGGAGAAAGCTTAAGGCTTTGGGCTTTCAGGCATTGATTAGGGATAGAGCTTGCCGGCTTGGTATGCACGCTTTCACGGACACTCCTCCCTAGTTTACAGGGCTTCCCGCCGATTCGCGGGCACAACGGAGCGATTGCCACGTTGAAGGTCTGAAAACTTGGGGGGCCGACGCGGGGCCGATTCTTATTTTAGACGTTTGGATCTATTTGTGGGATTTGCGACTGGACAAGCGACAAGAGTCCATTGCTCGTGCCAACATCGATTTTCGGCTGACATCAAGTTCCTGTGCTTGGTGGACTTGCGCTGCTTGAAGCAAATGGTTTGTCTCACAATAGGAATTGGCGATTGGTTTCCCATTGAACCAACCCCAGAACAGGGCCAGCATCAAAGGCGTACCCAAATAGCGTGTTTGAGGTTTGTTTTGAGGGACTCCGTATCGCAGGTTTCCATTGAGAGACATGGGCCCCATGTATATAACCGGGGGGGGGAACTTCCGTCACAACCTCTCAGCCAAGCAATTTAACAGGAAACCATCCATTCCCATTTAGCGACAAGCACGCGCATAGAATGGGGTGTCTTCCGTCCCAACCCCTTAGCCCACCCTACATATTGGTGGCCGCCCAAGATCTAAACGCCTTGATCCTACTCGCCGTCAACTCCTAACAAGGATTCCTTGTTACCCAGAGGGTCCAAGTACCTTCTAGGGAGGTACTTAGAGCCCTTTTTACTCCCAAAAGCCATCCTCAGGTGGTACTTGGACCCTCTGGGTTAGGATTTGGTACCCCTTTCTTGGTGGTTGAAGCTAACTAAGTTCCTTTTAGTAATGCTCGTCGTTAAAAACTCCAGATCTCAGGGCCGGTTTCTTGGTACCAACGGACCCTCTTTTGGAGAAAACCGAGAAGGAAAATGGAGGAAACGCTAGAAAATTGTGAAGTTCTGCTCTCTATGGTTTATAGAGTTTGATGCCAGGGGTACAACTTGCAGTGGACTTGACACAAGTCCAAACTCTTTCTTTGCAGTTCAAATGGTCTTCTTCAACTTTTCGACCCCCAATCCAAGAGAGCCCATTCAAACGACAAGTCACACTTTGGTATCACAGATTTCATGCGGTGTACCACAACCATGCTGGTGTTTGGAAGGGTGGTTGGTTGTATGGCTCTGACTTTAATAAGAAACCTCCTGAAAAGTGATTGGGGGACATGATGCCTCCACCGAATTCTGATGTCCGCCAAAGGCTCCCCTACTTGCAAATGGTTGAAACTTTTGTTCACTGGCCTTTACAAGGGAATCATCATTCCAGGGTTTCTTAGGTGCAGGATTTCGTCCACAGTAGGATTCACACCAGGCTGGCATCATAGGTTTTCCTTTGGGCCGATCTCGGGTCAAGGTAAGTCGCCCTGGCTCTTTGGGCGCTACGTCTACCGCGCCTCCGCCGGGACCCAAGTACTGCGAGTCGGAGTAATGGAAACGAGGCCCAGTAAAAACCCCCTAACTGCGGTCTGCTTGAAGACTCTGTATATTTGAGTGTGTCTCCAATCAAAAACCTTGAATATATATATATATATTACATACACATGTTTTTGATGTGTACATTTGGGGGTAGACTTATGAGACAGAAGTTTCTACCCCCAGACCGACCGTTGACCTCCATCTTAACTTTTGCCCAAGGCACCAAACCGCGGGTCTCGGACGTCCAAGCACACGATCCTCCAGGAAGGTAGCCTATGGAAACCAATCGCAAGCTCAACCCGCAAAAACCTCACAAACTCTTCTCCGGCCTCTCTCGGGGAAACACGTCTTTTTTGTTGTTGTAGCTCACATGGTATCGCATAGGAATCTTCCTGGTGTTCCCCAATGACATCCATGAATTGTTTTCTTCCAAGCATTGAGGCCCTAGTCATTGTAACAAGCTATGCATGTGACGCAAACCTATAGATACCCCAAGCAGTGGATTGGCGGCTTGGGGATTCGAACCCTTTGTGTTCTTGTAGAGGGTGAATGAGAAACCACCCCAACAAAAACCACCCAACCAACGGGCTCCCACCCAACCAATCGGAGGGAAGCTGGAGCAGGTGCTTTGACTGCGCAGGAACCTTTGCATCTGAAGGACTGGGGCAGCCCTGTGGGGGGGCCCAGCCTGCTCAGCCGCTCAGCTGGTGAATGAGGGCCTGCGGATCGACTGTTCCAAGCAGTGTTCCTTTCGAGACCAAAAACTGGCTGTTTCCTCCAGTCGGTGTGGCCTTGTGGAAACGGATTTCTGGAAAGACTTTTGGAGTTCTGGGGAAATTAATTAAGGCCCTAAAACAGAAGAGTGAAACTCACAAGTATGTGTAAGAGGCGCGTTGTGCTTTTGCGGGTGTGTGAGCAAAGCTGACTATCACGGGGTTCGACATTAAAGGCATCAGCGCTGTCTGGGTTGGATTCCGACAAAGTAATGCTTTGCGGCGGCACTTGGATTTTGTCCTTGGATACTGCCCGATATTTGGTCAGCCAGCGTCCTTTTGAACGGCGACAAACACAACAGCTGACAGAACAGCAAAGGCAAACTGTCACACTTGCCACGGTGGATGTACCTTTTTTGGAGCTGAAGGATGCTGATGAGAATCATGATGGCACACAAATCTCTTTGCAGCCAGATGGAGTTTCTCAAAACGGTGGACCGCCTTGCGGCTGGTAGAAGTTAAGCAAGAGGACACCAAGCATTTTAAGATATTTTAAGTATCCCTGCAAAGGTGGGTTGAACGGAAAAGCATTAGGAAAGCTGTCATTTGCTGGGCCTCCTATTTTGTGACATATACATGTGGTGAGGGGGTTCACAGAGGACCATCGAGGGCCCTAGGGATCTGCAAGAGTTGCAATATTCTATTGCCAGAAGTCAGGTATCCCCAATTCAGAATCCTTCACAGGTGATCTATGTTGACCCCCCTGCAGAAATAGGCAGATGTTGGAAGGGCCCCAGGTGCCGCATAGTCAAGTCCCACAACGCCATCCGTCGGTGAACTTCACTGTCCATGTGTTTTGTTGTTGGAAAGTGAACCCCCCAGGATTTTCTTGGTTTCTGACATGTCCTTTTCAGGCCACTGATTGATGAGAACCCTCTTGGCAGGGTGATGTTTCTGGGGGAAATATTGGGACCAGGTGTATACCCCTTGCATGGTGGTTTTTGGTAGTAAACCCCACGCTTCCCTCGGGGGTGGCGATTCGGTTCGGGGGTAGTGGTTTCACCATCTTAGACCTTAGGTCGATAAACCACCAATCCCAACTGGTGCGATTTGTGCATCCTCCAAAACTGCCTGACCAAGTGCCAACTTGAACCAGGACCTGGTGCAAGATGTTGTAACCATCCACCTCCAAAACCCAGAACGACCTGATCAAATGCGCCTACAGAGGTCGCCGGCTTCTTGAACCGCTTTGGGTCTCCCTTGGTGAACCCGGAGCGTGTGGGCGACCTGGTGTCCGCTCACTACCCCCGGCCTTCTGCCGGCTCGCCTTTTGGCTAAGAGACGGGCTGCTGCTGGCTCGTCTTTTTTCGGGTTTGGAGCCTACTCTAGAGCTCGCGCGAAGCAAATGAACCTTCAGATTTGTTAGTTTTTCCCAGCCAATCTGCGGAAGTGAGATAGCAAGAGGTTTTCCCATTGGTGTTCCGAGAAAGGATGGCGCGAGCCTCCAAGCCTCAAGAAAAAGACACCCAAAGATCGCCCAGTGAAGGGCTAGTTGTTTTAGACGCCTTTGGAGGTTTCCATACAGCTAGTGCAGATGTACCCCTTCTCCAAATTTCAAATTAGCAAAATATTTCCCTTTGAACCACCCTGCGTACCATTTGGTCCACATGGAACCTGGCCGAGGAATCGGTCCTGGAAGACGACTTTTTCCGTTCCAAGCGCTCTGGTGCGTTCCATGTTATTGGACAGGCGGCCCGGAGGCAACCCTATGCTGGGCCAGGGACAAGTCAGAGTTCTCCCATGTGACACATGAGAGCAATGAGCAATATGATCAGGTTATGGACTTTGTAGACGTGTATCGCATGAGAATCTCATCACTTGCGCTAAGTTATGTTCAACATGTGTTGACCTTTTCGGAGATATTTCGAAGGCCAGTGGAGACACCATGTTGGGTCAGTGTACCCGGTCTGAATATTGAGAGTCCAAAGTGTCTCACTTTGAGAACGCCGGACTCCCGGCGTACTCCCATGCCCGGACCCGGACTACCCCGATCCGAATCCTGTAGGCTGCGTCGTCTGATTGTATTCCATCCCGCGCGATCCGAGCGGTCCCACGCCTGCACAAAACGGAGTCGCTGACCCAGAAACAAGCAATGAGAGGCAGATGTGGTGGTCCTCCTGATGTATTTTGGCCACTGCCATGGCTCACTTTTTTTTTAATGTGTTGGGCTTGTGGAAGTGTGACTTGGTCATGGCTTAAAGATTGCTACCGGATTCATTGGCCTATGGAGGAATCGGTCCAAAAACGGGGTCCATTATTTGAGAAGCATTCATGAATCATGCCCTGCGTGCTTTTGTCAACTTGAGCCCCAAACTGCTGGAGGCCAATATGAAACCAAATGGGTGTGACTCAAAATTACACAGGAGGGGCTACGCAGGCTTTGGTCCATGTTTCCGCTTGCCAGGGTTCCATGTTGGTACCGGTTGTTTGAGCCACAGCCGAATGATCTACGTTCGAAAGGAAATAGGGATTGGCTCCGTTTGTCTCCAGATTCAAGATTCCTCAAGATGACGGCTGTGAGGATTTCGACGACAATAGATGTTTGAGCGGTGTCCGCTGTACTTGTTTTTCTTGTGGGCGGCCGTTTCCCTCCGAAAAAATGATAACAGAAGGGGAGCCCTGTTTTCCATGGCTGGTCGGATTCTGAGCATTACGTCTTTTCGGAGGGCAAGACGATGCCACGAGTCGCGTTCGTCTGATTTCCACCTGGGGCCCTGGAAACGTGATACTTGATGAGACCTGCGGAGTAAGAAGCCCCGGTTGATGAGTAGAGGATGTCCAACCGTAGGAGATGTTCTTTGACGGGTTTGTTTCTACGCACAAAAAGGAATGCAGAAGGAGACGCTCACTTATGGCCCCCCCCCACCCCCAAAGAGTCCATGAGGTCGACTTTTTTCGGATCTAGAGGAAGGAATTCAGTAAATGTTGGAGGGATCTCCGTAAACATTACGTTCAACAAGGAGGTCAGATGTCACATGTCATTCTCGATGTTGATCATTTTCGGGCGCAGTCACCTTCAGCAAGAGTCACCTTCGCATCTGAGGCTTTACCTGGATGACGTGCCCATGGACTTTGTACGTGCCAACCACTACGGAGAGGCCTGCAAAAGGTTTGGTCATTCTAAGCGCCAAAACTTGCGGTTTGCTCGCGCTGGCTCAAAATTTCAGAAGGGACCGCAGGTTTTAGTCTTTCAATTTACAAGGGTTCTATTTGGGACCTGTATTTTTGAGCCACACCCGGCTTGCAATCCATGATGCTCTGAAGCAAACTTCGGACTTATGCATTTGTTCTTCGGCGATGTGTTGTTGTCTGACCTTGAGGGGTAATCCCGTCTTCCTATTTTTATAAACGGACCCAATAATAACAATACACCCTCTAACCCGACCCACAAAAATGCACATATTATTTTCAAATTACAGAATGCGAAACCAATACTAAACCCTCCGACACCAGATGATTTCAGCCAAGCTCCCCGGATGTGCTTATTAGGGACCATCCTAGCAACGATCAATATCAAGGCTGCCTTGCGTGACAGTTTTTATTGTTAGGGTCTCCGTTAGGTTCTCTTCATAAGGTCGTACTCAAAAGTTATATTCTGAGCGCTTTTGTTTTGCTCAATCCGAGTGGGATTGCCTTGCGTGAGAGGTTTTTATTATTTTATAGTCTTTGAGAAAAAAAACAACAAGAGTGCTTTGCCTTTAAGAGTTCTTACTCAACAGTTTCGTTCTGAACACATTTTGTTCGCAACTCAAAGGGGTCCCCTTTCCAATTTGAGCCCAATACTAAACAACGCAGTCTGAAACAGTGGCCCAAACCCGGGCGACAATAATAGTAGAAACCCTCCGAGTTGTTTTCTTTTTTCTCAGGGAAGGGCCTAAGGGGGGGGGAGGGGGACCAATTTTTGTAGGGGAGACCGGATTAATGGCTGCAATTCCGGGCGGCCGAAAATGAAATGGGTCCAGGCCATACGGAAGGAATTCCGGTGACGGGTGACACAACGGCCCTGCTTCCAAGTGCTTGTCTCTTATCGCAATTCCGTGGGGGAACAAGAAGGGCACCCGGTCGGGTCACCTATCCTTTCGTGAGGCACAGGTACCCTGACAGAACCAACGAACACAGACCCGGGCCTGGAGTGCCCTGTGTTCCTTTTGGAGGAAGTTGCCCAAACTCAACTACGAAGGCCCAAGTTGCTGCCAACCCTTTCTTTTTCTTTTTTCTCGCATGGTTCCTTTGCGGGCACCCGTAATTCGCCAACTTGCTGCGCTGGAGCCTTGGAAGAAGCTGAAGACGCCAGTGGTGCCGTAGGATGAGGCGCGCAAGGCTGATCGACTCGACGTGAGGTGGTCGGCGACCCCACAGCGCATGGAGCAGTCCCGAGAGTGGCATAGTGACTCACCATCACTGGTGACCGCCACTCCAAGGAATGGCATGGTGCTGGCGTTTTTTTTTCCTTCGGTTCTCCGCTCGGTGTCCTTTGAATGATCCTGCAACTGGCACTGAGCCCCAAACAACTTACCACTCCCTAGTAGATTACCAGGATGTTACCTTGCCGGTTCCAAACCGTCCCCTTAGGTTTTTACTTGCTTTTTGGTTGCTTTAGTGGGGGTTTTGCTTTAACACGCTAAAAGTTAGATGTTTATCAGGGGATCTGAGGACAGTCCAGTTAACCTAGCTTTTACATGATGGTTGCCCCCGGAATACCTGGAGCAGTGGTAATTGGAAGGATTATATTGTGTATGTATATGTGTGTGGGTGTCTTTCAGGGTACTCTTGTCACCATGTTATTTTCCATCATGTTATCCTAGTTTGACATTCATGAAATACGTTGGGAACATCTAGGAGAAACATTAGGGGACTCCCGAAGCTTCCCACCACAGCCCGAATTGTCCCATGTCCGGCTTGGGAGTCAGGATATTTTGACCGCCATGGCTATTTCCCAAAATGGGGGGATTCCCCAAAAGTTTGGTATTTGTCTTTTGGGTCTCCCTTCAGCACCCCCCAAAAAGGCCGGCCAACACCCCCCCCCCAAAAAAAAAGAAAAGAAAGAAAGTCACCCCCAAAAAGGCCACCCCCCCAAAAAGAAAACAAGGTCAACCAGGTCTCATATGCGGAAATGCAGACCCACCCTCCTCACTGCGTCGAACAAGTTGTCGAGGCCTTCCATGTGCGGCAGATCATCGAGGAGCACGACACCCCGGTGAAGGCGCCGAGCGCGCCTTGCGGATGGTTTTTTCAGGATAATATTCGGGTAAATGCTTTTTCATCAAATAGATGGTGTTTGAGGAGGAGGGTTTTTTCAGGTAGATTTTTCATCAGGTAGAAGCCCAGTAACATGTGTCACCAAATGGGGGAAGGTACCGCAGGTCCACCAAACCAAACCGCATAAGGGATAAGGAGAAATGTCAGGTACCATAACGGTACCCATGGCCCACGAGCCTGTTTACTTCTCAGATTGGGTACCGGAAGACGCGCTCGCAAGAGTCTTACAAAAGGGACTTCAAAAACTGGTTGTTGTTCTTGGGTTGGCCTTGCCATGAGTGTTGTGTTAAAGGACTCCGCCGAGAAAATTACTTGGAGTTGAAGCTTGGGACACCGCGAAAAAATGGGAGAGTTCACTGAATGGGGGAGAAGACAAGCTCGTGACCTGTCAAGGCCCAAGCAATGGGCATGCCTGATGTCAAGTGTTAGGTTTGTGTTTGTAAGTGTGCAATTCTTCCAACAAAAGAACGATGCCAAAGTTTGGAGCATGGGTTTTGGGCTGCGCTTTCTCGAATAGGCGACTCCTACACGTATCATACAAACATATCAGAAAGTGGCAATAAACACCGTGTTTGGCATGGGAGCCCTACTGTGTCCCTTTTTGCGAGTCGGCTGCTTGTCCTTAATTTTATGATTTAAGCGGACCATTCAAGGGCCGTTGAGGTTATTGGAACATTAGAGAGATCTAGAGGAAAAAAGAAACAAATGTGGAAAAACAAAGTTATGAGGAAAATGCCTCAAAATTAATTTGATCTAGAGGAAAAAGTCAAAATGTGGAAATTCAGGATCAAATTACTGTTCATGGATTGAACATCCCGTGTGACTTGGACGGCAAACGGCAAGAGGAGAGCCTTGTCATGTCCCTTCCTGTTCAACAAAACAAGAGCTGCGTGGTGGTTCCTAGCCGTCCCCTTCGGTTTTTAGGCTTTTAGTTGGTTTAGTTTCTTGGTTGGGTTTGCGCTTGCGTACTTGTAAACGAGAACAGCATTTAGCAGGGGACCAGGAACGGACATCATCTAGATTCGGTCCAAAAACGATTCTTGACTGCTACATCAGTGGCGCGTTTGCGCCAGACGGGAGACTGGTGATCGGGGGGCCTGGTTGCAGCTTGGGCACCTGAACATGTAAAGGTCATGATCGGGGCGCTCAACTGGACCAGAGTACATTGATGATGAAGGTGATGTACTACGGATTCCCTTATTTCAGGTTTGGGAATTACAATAATTTTGGCATAATGAGTCATTCGCTCCTTTTCATTGAAGGCTTTTAACCCCCCCCCCCCCGCCCGGAGAAAAAGTGAGCAAGAAGCAGTGAGCACAAAGAGCCCCAATTGTAGCCCACCGAGTTTCTGGCGAGCCTTCAAATGTGACAGCTAACTCTATTGGTCTGGCATGCCAACTGATGGTTCTTCAGAGTACCTGAAGGTTCCCATTCTCCTGCTGTTTGGGAGCCCATGATAAATAAACCCGTTTCGTTGACTGGGTCAAGATGGAATCCCTGACTTTTTGGTGCAACATGTCCCCCTTCACAGGTGTCCTTGTCAGGTTAGTTTGGTTAGAAATATATGGCACCAATTTATTCCATGTGCCAGGGCCACCTGTTTTAGCAAAAGGACACCAACTTCTGGGGTGGACGAAATCCTGCACCACTTTGAAACCATGGTTGAAACCATTGTTTGTTGCTATTTACAATCCTCAGAAACCAGGGTTCCTTCGGTGGTGCGAGGCTCGCGGATTTCGCAACCATCCACAGCATGGCCCCATGAATCCGGGCTCAAGCTGAAATCAACTAGGTCCCCCAGTAGTGCCCTTTTACCCTTTTTTGGTGGAGATTCGGTTCCCCTACTAAAATAGACGACAGAAAAAAGTTGGTACCCTTATTCTAACCTCTCCACTGGAGGACCCAGTCCAAAAAAACCTCGCGCCAGGATGAGAGCATCCTTTGGGCCGAAGAGGCCTGTGCCGAGATGTTGGACATCGACTCCCATAAATTGGCCAAGGCCACACGAACCCCAAATTTAGAGAGGTGCATTTTGCCAAGGGACGTTAGGACTTTACCTTTTTGCCAACTAATGGGTTTTCCATTAAATCACTAAAAATTATACTTGAAGGGAGCAGAAAGCAACCTAGTTAGGAAATGAGGGGCTGCTCACCAAATGTTCATGTGGGTTGGGGTCAAGAATCTGCAGATTTGACCAGAACTTGAAATAAGGGTCGACCTACATTATAAGCTCGCTTTTCCTGCTGGCTGTGCTGAATACGGTGACACTTTGTCTCACCTGGTGGTACATGCATGTGTCACCATATGTGTCAGTTGGTACCATGTCCAATTGTCAGGTCAGTTGAGCCACACGTTGAGCCCCGGCAAGTGAAGCTATAGTAAAGAAATGGACAATCCCAACCCTGAACGTCCATTTGCTGAAGAATATGTTGTTGATGTTCCCTTGTTGGTTTTAAAGGGACTCTATCGCCACTGTTTGTTTGTTTTGTTTTCAGTTGGCTTAAGCAAACGGAAGTAAATAGGTGCGGCTGCCATTGATTTGTTTGCATAGTTCTGCGTAGGCGACGATTCTAATGCCTGTAAAAGTGTGTTTGCTTTGTTCATTTGGTGTAGGGGGCTGCAAACAGCAAAGTGTTTGCTACCATACCAAGGGTTGTAAAGGTACCGCAAACCCCGTGCCCCAAACCCTGCATCTAAGAAACCATGGTTGAAACTCCATTGTTTTGTTAATTTACCTTGGGGAATCGAATCACCAAGGGTGTCTGAATGAGAAGCGGATGTCGCAATCCGATCGGTGCCCGCACCTGAGGCCATGGCTTCTTTGGGTCTAGCGCCGCTGCCACCCGGCCCGGAGCCCACCTGAGCTGACGAGGCTTCCGGGACCCGAGGCGCGGTTCGTTTCGCTTCGTTTCGCGCGTTTCGGGGGGGGGGGGGGGGGGGCGTTGAAGTTTGGTGAGCCAAATTCATGGTATCCATTGGGCAACGCCCTGACACCGTGCACGTAAAGGAGTAGGCTCCTCCATCTGTATGGATTTGTTGGATGAGGTTGGCAATGCCCGAAACGGGGGGATACCAAAATGCAGCCCTAGCTTTGACAAATCCTTCCGTATGCACAAATTGTGTGGATACCTGGGATAGTTCGAGCTCACCCATGGCAAAGTTATATGTCACCTACTTGGGGATTCCAGACGTCCGGTTTGTGAATTTATAGTAGCAGTTTGCTCAGACGTACCCAATGGACATACGCCTGGCGCAAATGACCCTACAAGGCCTGCTGATGTTCAGGCCCTCAATATAAAGAGGGTTGGTAACAAGGGAGCCTTAAGGGTACAAACAGGGGCCGTGTATTGCAACCCGTAGACCCTTCCCCGTGTTGCTAAGGATTCGTTCAGTTGGTTGCTTACGTTGATGGTGTGAGTGGTGCACCCCTGGATCTTGAGTAATTAAACCAACAGTCGGAGTACCTCTTTCTTCTAAAGCCGTCTTGCAAACTACCAAGCTAGGCCATGAAGGATTCTGTGGTTGCGTGGTGTTTTTTGCATTGTGTGTGTCTGTGTGTGTGTGTGTGATGATTTGTCTCTACGCGTCTGTTTTGGAGGTTTCCTGGTTTCCTGGTTTGGAGATTTCCTGGTCTCTAGCTGGTGGAAGTGCGTACTTTGTTTCAGTCCAAGGTCACTTCCAACTTTCCCATGAGAAGCAGCTACAAAACCGCGAGAGATGACCAAGCTATCATGGTTTTTTGCGCAGTCAATGGGTTGGTTTGCCACAGAGGCCATACACACATGGATCGCTTTTCACCCAGAGATTGAGGTCTGCCTAGTTTGTGGCGTTTGTGGCTAGGGCGCGCCATCCTGAAGGTAGAACTTGCTCGCCATGGTGAAGAGGCTTTACTTGCAGATCCCTTCAGTTTTCAACATTCATTTGCACATATACTTGGTTTCAGACGCAGATTAGCTGCCAGGAGCAAACAAAGTGTTCCTCAGGGAGCGGCAGTGAGAGAAAGACAGAGAGAGCGAGAGGATACGAGTGACCCCCGAGAAACATGGAAGTCAGGGACCGCTTGCGAATGGACTGCCCTCCAAATGGGAATTCTGCGCCCAACAAGGTTGGTGGAAGAATTGTCCAGAGGCCAGAATGTCAACCTAGTATTAGTAACTGGATGAGAGGAGAGGAGAGGAGAGGAGAGGAGAGGAGAGGAGAGGAGAGGAGAGGAGAGGAGAGGAGAGGAGAGGAGAGGAGAGGTAGCCAAGCCAACACCTGGTCCTTGGATCTTTGGTGCCCTATTCTTCTGCGATCAAACCCGGATTCGGAAACTTCGGCCGATTCAGAAACTACGGTTCAGAAGCGACAGAAACTACAAAAGCACGATTCAGAAACTATAATTCTCGTATTCAGAAACTAGCTCAGGGTGTTTGGGTTTAGTTTGGGGTTAGGTTTATGGTTAGGTTGGGGTTGGTGTATGGTTGGTTTAGGGTTGGTGGATTCCGGTTTGGTTTGGGGCCGGGAGCTGGCACAACTCGTGGACCAGGGCAAGTGGAAAGTTGCCGAACCAGGTCTTTCGTGGGTTTGTTTACCCGCAAGGTTTGTGAGGCAGGCTCGGGGGTGAGTCATGAGTACAGACAGAATGAGCAACTGCCATATGGGTGTGGATCAAAGATGGGTACCCAAAATGGAACCCTGGTAAATGGAAACAAGGACTCAACCTGCGGTCCCCTGGTGGTTTATTTTTGACTCATACCCATGTCCTCTCAAAGTGCTGTGCAGCAAGTTGTTTCGTGCATGGGCCAATGAAAGAGGGCAAGTCTAACAAGTCAGGTCGACCAGACGGCGGACCGTGTCGCAGATGAGCCAAAAAACAGCAGACATCGAATGTAGGTCTGTCGTTAAACCTTTTTGTAGGTCTGTCGGACGTTGAAGTACGAACCTTTTTGTGGTAAACCCAGGTTTCGTAGAATCCGAGCCAGGGGTTTGTATTTGCCGAAACAAGTTGGGTCGTAGGACTGAGGGGCTGCAGTTTCCGAGACCGGGGCGGTGAGTTTCCGATTCTGGGCGTGACCGTCAACCGGTCTTCTGCTCCCCATGTCCAAAATGTCCAGCTTCCCCAGAGGCATGTTTGCTTACATGGCCGTGGATCAAAACTAATGGTACCATTTTGGGGAAGGTGCACCACCCATTTTAGAACCTATTTTAGTGGGGATTGGGATGTTCACTGGGGGTACGATTTGGATTTTGACCCATACCCACGTGTCTCTTGTTTCAAAACTGCCCGCAATCAAACCCCCAACGGGGGTAGTACCTCAAGTTATCAAATGTGAGCTCAAGACTTTATTTTCAGGGGCCCGTGCAATATAGTTTTGTTGCCTGGCCCCCTGGAAATATACAACTTGCCCAACGTAGCTCCTTAGCTATGATGCTGGTGAAGCTTCAGGCTTTGCTGTTAGATTTGGGCCTTCCCAAAAGCAACAGTTTCGAACTTCCCCAAACTCATGTTTTCTCACATGTCTCTTGTTTAAAAACTGGTAGTACTTCAGGCCCAATTTGGGCTCTCTTCCAGGGGCCCCTGAAATAAAGTCGTGTTGATCTCAAAAGGAAGCTCCAGCAATACTAAACCAGCAGCACGCTGTTGGTCCCCAAAGGCCCCACACCACCCGGACGAGTGCCAGGTGCCGCTCTCTGAGCCGGCGAAAAGCGATGGATCGCGATGGATCGCGATGGGCCGCGATGCCGCCGAAGCACCCGCAGACCCGCAGACCCGCAGACCCGCAGACCCGCGACGCCTGAGCTGCGCAGAGAGAAGGTCACCGGCGCGAAGGAAGGCCCAGCCTCGTGCACGAGCCGCGGAGGGTTGGGCCATGCCGGTTCTTGGGGGTGACTCTGCTCGTGGTTTCACTTCCAAAAAGTTCAAGGGGGACCAGGCCCGGCTCCGCCGCCCAGCCACTTCAAGCTGAGATGGCGCATTGCGCCTTGCGGGTTGGGAGCGAAAAAGGGGTGGGGCTGGCTGAATCAGGCCGGAGAATGATGCTAGAAGGGAGGAATCGCGAAGAAAGTTTAGTAAGTTCCATCAATCAAGTCTGCCTTGAAACTGAAAGCTTGGGGGCTGGAATCCTCCCAACCCTACTCTTTCTCAACTGTCCTTGCTAGTTACCCCCCCAAACTGAAGGACAACTGACAAAAGCACCGGTCTACAAGGAGTCTGGGGACGTGCGGGGGCCCACCATAGGTTGCAATCGGGGCCCGCCCGAATTTTGGAAACAATTCATGCGGTGCTCACCTGACCACAAGTTCCACTTTTGCAGGGGGGGGGCGTTTCTCTTTTTGGGAGGATGTTGGAGGGTAGCCTTTTGGTCTAAGGGATGTCACGGGCCCAGGCCCGGCAGTTCTTTGGCGGAGGGCTTGGCTTCTGAACCATCTATGTGCATTGTTGTGTTACAAGGGAATCATCATTCCAGGGTTTCTTAAATAATTCGAAATGCATTTTGCCCACCAGTATGAGACTAGGGAATTCCTGGGCCAGGATTCGATTCTCCTGGGCTTGAAGCCGGTGTGCACTGCTTGCGTTTCCGGTCAGCTTGCCACTTTGAAGGAACGCTCCGCCCATTTGTCAGCTGCCCTGCAATCAAAACCAGATCGGGATCCATGAAATTTGTTCGTTTCAGGCTCGGTGATTTGGAGGGGTGGTTTACCCTGGAGACCCAGGGCTTCAAATCCAAATGCGAATCCACGAATTCCAAGCCAACTAAGGGTTACCTGGCATTCTTGGCCCAACCCCAAGTAACCAAAACGACATGTGCCCGATTGTCCTGAAAATATGAAGATACCAACAAACACTGGTTTCCCACGGTTCAAAGTAATTCAGAATTTCCTCCATCAAATAAACAAACTCTACACCCCTAGCTGATTCAAGGTCGCAGTGTGGTTCTTCACTTTGGGATTCGTCACTAGAGATCCGATGTTGATTGATCCGGATCACTTTTGGGCGCGGCTCCCCTGCTTTGGAGAGTACTTGCCCGAAAGAAGGGGCAAGGGCCCCCGTCTTTGGGTGTGTCGTTGAGCTTGGACCCCCCGAATTGGGGGATTTCCTTGAACTTTTTCTCAAAACAACTGGGCGCTCTCCAACAAAGACAGACCCACTGTTTGACAAGCGGACAACAGGCCAAGCCAGCAAGCAACATGGCGCAAACGTGTCGCAAGCGAGCCAGTCGTGCAAATGGCTCCAGCACCCGGTTGCGCAACCGGGCGGTCCAGATTTTCATGACCACCTTGAGGAGTTTCACCTGTAAAGGATACCTCACTTCAACACAAGACACGCAGACCACTTGACCCGAGAGGTGTTGCACTCAACGCATACTTTTCTTTACCTCAAGACGGGCTTCTGCCAAGATGCACGAGTGATTCCCTACACATTGCGCGTAAACAAACCATGCAGAGCCTTAATCAGTGGGTTCGCGCTGTCCACTGCAATCAGTTAGGACAACAGCTGTCCCACTTCCCTTGTACACCGTTTGAAAGAATGTTCATGTCCTTTCCACTTTGAGAGATGCGTGTCATTACCAAGTGGGTTTTAAAGGGACATGTTGATTCCTGGTCCCTGAAGAGACGTCGGACAGACCAACTAGTGATAAATTATACAGTGTCCTTTTGGTTTCCCATTCAAATCCAAGCAAAAATAACCAATGGAAACTGATACCTACTGCGTTAACTGAGATCCACTATGTTAAATCCCGTACCTACAAGAGGAAAGGGAAGGTTGGTTGGTATTTAAGACTACGTGTTTCCTGTTGGTTTCCCTGAAACCACCAACACAAAGTAGTGAATTATGCGGTGTCCTTTTGGCTTCCCTTTGAATTCCAACCAACAACGTGATGAATTTATGCACATGTTAGTTCCTTTTGGCTTTCCTTTTGGTTATCCCTTTAAAATACCGACCAAACGGGTCTCCGAATCCGAATCGATCTTCGCCATGCCGCAATCCATGGCTTTGCGTCCGAGCAGCCGTCCTGGCAGCCGCGGCAGTGGCGGCACACTGGAGCGAGGCCGGCCGACGAGGGGCTCAGTCGGTTCCGCTGACTCAGGGGCTCAGAGACACGTGTGGGTCAAAATCAAATCACCAGGCGACTTCAGGTTTTAGTCTTTGGTTCCATTTGCCAAGGTTTCATTTTGGGTACCCATTTTTGACCCACAGCCACATGAGTGCACAGATGGGCGTGGGGGCTTTGTTAACTGTTTCTATGGTCTTTTGATTATGACCAGGGTTGTGGGATCAAGAGGGTTTTACCCCACTTCTGTGATACAAGGGAATCTCCAACGTTATGTGGGGGGTTAGTGTTTCGGAAGCCCTTATTGTTGTATCACAGAAGTGGTCATTTCCCACAGCCCTGATTATGACTCACTCGGGTTCGCAAAAAAGAACGACATGTTGTATTGATGTTTATATACACAAATATTGTTGGCTCACATTATTTTCGCTGGTTCGTTAGGTTTGAAAGGGAACCAAAAGGGAAACTACCAATTTTGGGGACCCTAGAACCAAACACACCCACACGTATCAATGGGAAACAGCCTTGACATGCTTGCAAATGCATTGCATGTGATGTCCACCAACGGCTCAATGATAATCACACCCATAAGGGCAACGGGGGTCACGCAGTGTATGAAATGTGTACTGTGTTTTGTTTACACGTTGTTTTACATACAATAAAATACTAATCAAAACAATCACAATACACATGATGCACATAATAATCAACATCATGATAGCCATCACAAGGTGGGAGGGGCTTTCTCGATAGTCTCAAGGCTCTTGTCGCGTTTGATTGAAAATCAGGGGGTCTCCATATAAATCTCAAAGGAAGCATGACATGGACACTTGAACGAATTCGACTAATCTTAGACCCCTGTATTTCAACCCGAAGTTTTCTGTTTACATGGGAGCCGTCCCTAGAAAGGTCATATGCATACCTCAAAATCGCACCTGTCTGAAATCTAATCGGGACACCCAGGGGCCATCTCGCGTGTGCATGAGGTTCGTTGTCACGGTGAACAGCCTGTGAAGGAAACCATGAATGGGGGTGTCCTTTTGAGAGCACCTCGTGTTTGGTGGTTTTAAAGGGAAACCAATAGGAAAACCACCACTGGGGGTCCCCTAAAACAGACACCCAGGATGTGCCTATTATCCCAGACACCCCGTCCTGTCCTTCTCGCCCCGGATTTGCTGGGGATTGGCCTTTCTATGGGTCCAATTTTATCGTAAAAGCCGGCTTCCAATTGCAATGTCAATTCTGAATTGAAATGGCCACAGAATTGCCAAAGGATTGCGCCTAAAAAATAATTCAGTCAAGATAGACTCCGAAACACCATTAGGTTCCTTTTGTTATACCTTTGCAATGTTTGTGTCTGGCATGGGAGACCCCATTTGGACAAGGACCGGCCTCCCCCCCCCGGTATTTGCCGCAGGGAATATTCGCCTGTACGAGGGAATTTGTCAAGGGGTCCTCACAGGCGACAGATGTGTAGCGAATTTGGGAGTTTGCTGGAAGTTATTAAAAGAGTAGGCGCTTGCACCCGAATCAGAAACCGGTGTTCTCCATTGCTGCCCTCCAATCATTGCTGAATCTGATTTGTTCCTTTTTCGAGCAACCCGAAGCCGGGTTGTCTCCAAATGGGAGAACCCTGGTTCATGGTTTCCCTTTGGCTTTCCGTCGAAAGCACCAAAACACTCCCTGAGTCCGGGAAGCCTTAAGGCTTCTTAGGCGGCCCTTGTGAGCAACCCTGAGAAGGGGCCTTCCAAAGTCAGCGAAGGGGCCCAACTCCGGGAGCCGAGGATGAAAATAATTGCACCCACCCAAGGCGCATTCTTAGCTTCTTTTTTTCTGGGGCAATAGCCCCCCCCCTTACAGTCCCCAAAAGAAGTCGTCGTGGTTTATTTGATTCACTGCGATCTGATGAACCACATTTATTGCTCGTTGAGCTAGGAATGGGGCTGTCCCCTTCCCCACGTCTGAAAAGGGTTCAGTCCATGAGAATTGTCAAACAATCTACGTCCAAACTATTCTTTTCTGGCATATTTTGTTTGGATCATTTAAAATTATATGATTGCAATAATGCCTCAATCGAAGCAACTCATCTCACAGGCGGCCAGGCCCAACTCGCGTGTGGGGCCTCAGAGATCCGCTCACGGCATTGCGGCTCGCGGGCTTGGGGTTTGGCTTGCCCAGCGCGGATGCCGCACTCGCAGGAACAACATGTTCCACACATACGGGTTGTTCAAAGTGAGTTCGGCCTTTTTGGGGAGACTAAATATCTGAACATGTGTTGTACCGTTGTACCCCAGATGTGGGCATATATGAAGGTAAGGTTCCTTACGGACTCCTTGGGTGGTGAATAGGAGGTATTGCCGATGCCTGTTCAAAGGCCGCTTTGAGGCACTTCCCGCTGCAAAGTGACCAAGGGGTCCTTTCAATACTGTACATGATGCATGTTATGTGACAAGCTCATCGATTCAGGGACCCGTAAAAGGAGCTCATGATGCGAATCCTTTGCATGGGGATCCATGTTTGTTTTTTCTTCCTCGATTTTGGAATCACGCTGTGGATGGACACAATCGACACCAGTTGGTATAGGTGGTAAATTCCAGCATTTACAGAGCATTATCCAGCTCAATTGGTGCAAAGCGAATTTAGTCCATCCACAGTATTCCTTTTACCCAAAAGGCCAATGTGTTGGACTCCACCTCAACAAGAACGACATACATATGTGTGTATAAATATAATATATTAATATATATGTATAC